ATATTTTAATGTTGTAGTTTAGTTAATTTATAATTAGGATATAATTTTTTTTATTAATTTAACATTATTAACCAATTTATAATAATTATTATAAAGAAATTGAAAAGTTATGGAGGTTTCAGATGTGTGTGGTGCAAGTAAAAATATCTCTATTATAAGTATACTAAGCGAATACCCCGTATGTTACGCAGAATACACCAATATATTTGAAATCTTTATAAATATGTTTTTTAAAATATAACAATGACGTTATTGTTAGCTCTTATATAATAAATCTTATATAAAGATGTTATAAATACTGTTTTATTTTGAATTATATGATAATGTAGACATTTTTTAAAATTTTATAATCTCAAATGCCTCAATGGTCTTTACCTGTGAATTACTCGTAAATAAAATTAATTATAATACATGGTTTGATGATATTTATACTTGTTGTTATGATTAATTATTTTTACAAAGTTATTTGCTTAAGATTATAATTTATGTCGTTATAAACTATTTAAAATGTTAGAATTGTTTTTTTTAAAGGTAACAATATAATTTTTGTATATAATTTTATTTATTGTTATTGTAAGTTATTAAAAAAAACTTATTTGGAAACTTTTAATTATTTTAATTTGGTTTCAAAAATTTAACTTTTTCTAAAATTTATTTGAAGAACATTGTTAGTTTTCTTTGATTATAATTATTTAAAACAACAAACATTGTTTTAAATTTTTAACTATTTATAAAATATTCTCACGATTTTTCTTCAAGTTTAACTGATATTTTGATTTAAGTTAACCGTTTAACATTATATTAACATTAATAATTTAACTATTTTGCATAAAATAGTAAACTATACAAAAATTGTGACTTTAAAATGATAATTACTAGCATACGATTATATATCTAAACAATTAAGTTAACTATAATATTTTAAGAAGCTACAACCATAATTTTATAAATAGAAGTAAAACATGATATTTTAATAACATCATTAGATAATTTATAATTATTATTAGAAAGAAATTGAAAAGTAATGGATGTTTTAAATACATGTGGTGCAAATAAAAATGTCTTTTATATATATATATATATATATATACACACACACACACACACATATATATATATATATATATTGATTTTTATATATAATAAATAACATATAGTATGAAAATACTAGAGGTTTTACTAACATAAAAACACTAAAACAAATATTATAAATTTTTTTATTCAAGAAGCATATTAAATACTCATAAAATCACACAAACACACTAGCTAAAAATATATATTTTATTTGATACTTTAGAAAAATAATAAAATTCTTACTTTTTTATAATAAAATTTATTTCTTCAACTTCTCATATTTGAATCACAAACCACTTTAAACATATGAATGTTTTTGTAGGAGAATTTTACTTATATTCTACCAATATAAATAGAATTGTAAACACTGTGGGAAACCAAAAAGTTATTAGTAAATGACTTCAGTTTAAAAGCATAAAAATTATTTAGTTAAGTAATTATATGCTATAACTTAAAAATTATTGACTAGCTGTTATTAATTGGTTGAAAGTTGAAAGGTTATGAAGGTTCCAAATATATATGATGTAAGTATTTGACATATTTTGAACCATATTCACATACATGCCATTTTTTATAAGATTTACTAGGCGAATAAATATATATATTGCGCAAGAATATATTTATATGTTTAAAATAATAACCAATATAATTTATTAAAAATATTTATGTTGTGCACATTAACTTTGAAATAATAATTTTTGTATACTAAATCAAAATTTTGATTTAAAGCATTGTTTTTATCTGAAACGATATGATAGAATATACAGTTTTAAAAGTTAAAGTTCAAAAAGTATAATAATTATAATGGTGAAATTTGATGTATTTTAATTAGATCAGTGTATTTTTTTTAACTTATAATATATTATCAGTTTGGTATTATATAAGTAAATACTAAAGATGCTCAATTAGTTTAAAAAAAAAAAAAAAAAAAAAGTTTGAATTAACTTATGAGACTCGATAAATAAAAAAAATCCAAAAAATCCAATTAGTATCGTAAAAAAGCAATTATTATTAATAAACCATATTATTTATATTCTTGTAATATAGCTTGTGTTTATAGAATACAATAAAATAAATTATATATATGGTGATTAAAATAATATATTAATAAATTAAAATTAATCAAAATGTAATGAATGATATTTATGATGAATAGTTTAATATATTAATAAATAAACAATAACAGATTATAATGAATGATATTTTTGGTGATTAAGTTAATATTTTAATAATTAAAAATAAATACAAATTAATTAGTTTCATATCATAATAAATAAATAATAAAAATAGGATATGGAATTATTTTCTGGCTAGTATTTGTATTATGATGTCGTTGTAGACTTATTCTTATTGAACTAATTTTAGTAACATTTAGATGAATAATTGCTTGTTTATAGAATACAATAAAATAAATTATATATATGGTGATTAAAATAATATATTAATAAATTAAAATTAATCAAAATGTAATGAATGATATTTATGATGAATTGTTTAATATATTAATAAATAAACAATAACAGATTATAATGATTATAATGAATGATACTTTTGGTGATTAAGTTAATATTTTAATAATTAAAAATAAATACAAATTAATTAATTTCATATCATAATAAATAAATAATAAAAATAGGATATGGAATTATTTTCCGGCTAGTATTTGTATTATGATGTCGTTTTAGACTTATTGTTATTCAACTAATTTTAGTAACATTTAGATGAATAATTGCTTGAATATTATAACATTTTAATATTTAAGTAGAGATGCTAACCAACTACCATTTAAAAGATATAAGGAAAACATGATCAATTAGTTTGATTTACTATTTTTTGTATTACACATCTTGAACCTTCTATTATTAAACAACTATAAAAATTAATAAAGTTGGTTCATTGTAATGAAAAGTTATTTTAATATTACCTAAAAATTTTACAAAATATTATTTAGCTATAAAATTATAATCATTCAAAACTTCCACTTAATTGGTACTTATGAGACTTATTATTAATATTTATTATCATTATTTTACGAAGGAATATATGTCGATTATTATTAATATTTATTATCATTATTTTACGAAGGAATATATATCGACATTAAAGTTTGGAAAGTTGATTTGGTTTAATATTTTCAATTTTACACTTTGAATTTAAAAAGTAATGCAATGTAAATGATTTTTATGATTTAATTTAATATCATTATAAAAAAACACGACTTAAGCAGTGGTAAAAATTAGGCAAGGAATCCGTAGTCCAATTATATCTCTCATGTAAAGTTTTTCTTTTTAATCTTATCAGAAAGATACTAATATATATATATATATATATATATATATATATATATATATATATATATATATATATATATATATATGCACGTAAAGACTTTCATTTCATTGATCTAAAAAAATACATAATATATATTACTTTATGTTTGCTAGGTTCATCAAATAAAAACAGAAAACTATTTAGAATTACACAAAAAGTTGTCGGCTCTTGCAATGGGTTCGCAAAAGAATGCTTATTCTTACACCGCATGCATAGTCAACGGAGTTAGGTTTACAGTACTTAGTCGTGACGCACAACGCACAACACAAAACTCTGGGGTTTTAGCAGTGGGTGAGAAAGGCGAGAAATAGTATAGCCAGTTAGAAGAGATTATAGAGTTGAGGTATACACATGATTATTCAACTATACTATTTCGTTGCAAGTGGTTTGATACTCAAACATAAGTTATTTCTAGTGATAATTTCACCAGTATCGACACACAACACGAAGCATACAAAGATGATCAACTCATATATGTTTCACAAACCAAAAGAGTGTTCTACATCAGAGAACCAAACAATAACCATCAGTGTGTTGTTGAGCATATTAATCATCGAAGTATTTGGGACCTGTCATTGAACGATGATCGTGTCCAGCTTGTTTACAATGACTCTGTCCAAAATGTTGACAATGGGTCACACGAAAATGTTGACAATCTCTTCATCTCTTCATCTGATGCTCTACTTTTTCTCGATTTCAGTATATACTTTCAAAACATTCCTAGAGTCATTGTTGATGTAGAAAGTGCAACTGAAGTTCCCCTGTCAACGGGTAGAGAAAATTATGTTTCTGATTGCGAGACTGATTACGATAATACTGATTCTAATTATGGTACTGAAGAAGACACTGAATGATATGAGGAAGATCTGATTAGAATTGTTCTATTGTAATGCATGTTTGTAAGATGAACTTTATTTGGATTCCTATGTAAATGTTTATTTCTATGTAATGCGTGATTAAATAGGAATGTTTATTCCTCTATAAATGTTTATTTCTATGTAATGTATATTTGTAATAAAAACTATATCTATATATCACTACTAGAAAAACAGCCTTTTACGACGCTCATTGCGTGTCGTAAACGGCTCAGACGACGCGCAAATGCGCGTCAAGGAAGGCCATGTCATAAAGAGAGACGACGCGCATTTACGACGCTCATTTACGACGCACAATTATGACGCGCGTTTACGACACGCAATGCGTATCAAGAAAGGCCCTATCATAAACGAAGACGACACGCATTCGCGTGTCGTAACCTTACGATGCGCGTGTTAATGACACGCAATGTGTATCAAAAAAGCCCCTGTCAAGAAAGGTCATGTCATAAATGAAGATGACACACATTTTTGCATATCGTAATTTTAAATTTTAAAAAAAAAATTATTTATGGATTTACTTATTTTCATATTAAATTTGCATTTCATGTCACATAATGGAAAACAAAATACCATATACAAATAATACAATGCATTGCACAAAAGTTAATGTTATACAAATAATCATTCGAATAGTAGACAAATGTAATACTACAAATAATCATTCCAATAGTAGACCAATGTAACATTTCAACATTTTTTATATAATTAACTAAATTATTAGCCAAATTTCCTAAAATACCAACATACTTTTCTATGAAGAGCATTAACACTATTCTTTTCCATCAAAAACTTCAAAACCTGCATAATTAATTTAATGTTTAATCAGCTACAGGTCAATAAGGTAGGTTTAAGCAAAAGAGTTTCATAGTAGTAAGATTTTACTTACCATTGTTGTTAATGACATTGAAAGAAGCAGCCCAACAAACACCCCCTCAGAAGGATTATTACTAAATGAAACCACAAACAAAGTTAAAAAGTCAAGTATTTTGTGACAACCCCGGAACCAGGGGCAAGGCTGTTTTTACCCATGGTATGACCTAATACATGATAATAAAGACTTGTTTAACAAAAAGAAAAATGATTTCTCACGTGACATCACTATTAAGAATTGATGAAAGAAGGTACTCCACACTGTATTGCCAACAAGCTTGACACCAACACCTGAAAGCTGGAAAAAACAATAACAGAAATAAAAATAAATGTAAGATTTGAGATAACAGATGCATGTGTATGAAAGAACCAATAGATGATAGAATTAGTGAAAAGGAATCATGGAAACAAGGAGTTAAAGGGTCTTTAAGCATACCATTTGCAAAAATTGGTCGATGTTGATCTTTAACATTCCCTAAAATAGGAAGAACTTGGGAAAGCACACCTTTAAGTCTTGGGTAAACATCAGAGCTTCAAATAAATGATCATAGCACCAAAAGATATTCAGTTTCAGGACTTAGTTTTGAACACATGAAAGAAGACTCATAAGGATGCCAAAGAGTTGGATAAAGGACTAATCAAATTTACCACATGTCATTTCTCTTCTCTTCTCTTATGTATTATGTAATTTATTGCAAGTCTATGGATTCGAAACTTACCACCCTAGCAGTGTCATTAATGACAAACCAACCACCATAGGGACAAAAATGCTTGCAACCTGAACCATACACACACACACACACACACACACATATATATATATATATACATATATATAGTCATAATACGCATAATAAGTGAATTGTCTTTTAATAACCAAATTTATATAAATTTCCATTTCTTTCATGTCAAAAATGCAAAGAGATTCCTATTAAATTCCACCCATCTGCCCATTGTAAGGGAAATAATAGGCTTTCCCCATTAACTCATAACCTTACCTGTGCTTGTTTATTTTTTTTCTTCCATTTTCCCATCATTTTCTCAAATATTATTTAAATATCATTTACTGAGACAGCATTTGCTGAAAAAAAAAGCCCTAACAGAATATCAAGTTTATACATATAGAAACAAGAACACACCAGCTTAACTCACATAATAACTATGTTTCTGATTTATCCAATCCATGCAACAATGTTCCAGTTTTTTACCAATTTATGCAATCATCTTTCCCTTTTTAACCTATTTATGCAACTTATACACCCATGTTTCATCAGGTTAAACAGGTTGCTGGTATAACATCGTATGTTTTGGTCCTACAATAAATAATACACCGGTGCATATTTTCTAATAAAGAAACAAATTTGTTGCAGAATCGGGAAGAGGGTGAATGTTGTTTCATAAATATGCATATGCATTTACTCCTTTTAAATGTAAACACTCGAACCATAATTCACCTGTCTACTTTTACCAATTTATTTTATGCAACATATATGCAGCTGACATGAGTAAATTATACAACAAGTTAGGAGTAAAATAAGGGATGGTTGCATATATAGTATGATAAATAAAGAGATTTGTGGCATAAGGGTGCATAAATAATAAAAAGCAAAAAGGAAGAGGAAAGCTGACTTACATAATACATAAGAGTGGTCCCACTATGTGACATAATCTGGACAGGTGATGACCATGAAGGACCATTTTTAGTTTGAACAGATGATGACATCGACTTCTGCATTGGGACATGTACTTGATGTTGTTGTTGAACAGAAGAACAACCACCTTTATTCTCTTGTTCTTTAAGAATGTACCTTAAGGAAGTATGCCTTGCAATCTTTCCTGAATCTGACCAAGCTGGAGCAGGTGTAGGAGTTGCAGTCTCCCCTTTCCAGACAACAAAATCTCCAAATGAAGGACCCGAAGGGATAGCTGGCAACAAAAAATCTCAGGCAAAAAAAATTCCTGGAGAAAACAGTTAGTACCTCAAAAGCAAAGGTTTTATAGGGTTAGGCATACACCAGCAAGACAGGGACTAAGATTAGAAGTGATGTGAATGGGACATAGTAATTAAAGGAATTTTTAAAGGAATTTTTGTTACCATTGTTCCATGCATAGTGGTTAGGGTAGAGTGTTTTTCCATCACTGTTGACATGGAAGGGTCCAAGTTCTTCCATGGCTCCATATCCAAACAACAAGCATCCTGGCCCAGTAGAATACCTGCATTAATAGTGGGTCTTACTCTACATTTTGGTGCATTTGGATGATGATCTTTAGAATCTCCATTCTGATTCATGAATATTTTATGTAATTCAGATTCCAGTGAAGGGAAGAGAGGAGTAGTCGGGGCTGTTAAAAGCCTGAAAAAGATAACATCCAAACTTTACTAAATGTGTAAATGTGATCAGTAACATGTGCCTACAACTCTACAAGGATATAAAACCATAATTTCTACATACTGGTTGCAGAAGGCATACTGATTTTGGTAGAATTTCCTGTTCTTGATCCTGTGACATCAAATTTTTTATATAGTTATTGAAATATATGATGATAAATTCGTATACACATGGCCAGGTAAGCTACACAAATCAAAGAAATTCATTGGGGATTTCCTATACTTTTACTCCTAAATTTTAGATAATATATTACAAGATTTATTACTTAAAAGGATAAGAAAAGGTCATAAACTAATAATTTTGAAGCATTAGCAACTGAAGTAATAAAATAATCATCAAATAAATGGAATACCAAGTGACGAGTCAAATTCCTCTTCTGGGTGGTGATTTGGAGTTTATGGATCCTGCAATCTTCCACATGGACAAATCCTAAGAGAGGGGGTCTTGGATATGGTGAAACTAATGCACTTGAATCTTTAGTTACTGAATCATCAAAAAGAATAGATAAACATTTAATGGATATTATTTTCAACCAATATAAGTTTAAAGAACACTGTTTAGCTATTAAAAGATATATCCTTTTAGGTCAAGGCGATTTTGTTCAATACCTAATGGAAATCATTGAGCCAACCATTGTTGGAATAGATTGATAAGGGGTTGCTTTTGATGATACGAAGAGGCACGTGCAGTTCTTGTCAGCATCATAAGCAGAGACACCCAACAAACCATCCTAAGAAACACATTGGAGAAAAATGAATTCATAGAGTTCACAGAAAAAAAAAAGTAGAATCATTGGCAAGTGGATATATATTATTACCATGCCAGCAAGTGGAGAAACATCTGTAACATCCCCAAAATGATCATTCCCATTGTCACTAATGAAAGCTGATAGGCCTAACATTGGATTGAAACCCTAGAAGTCATTCACAAGAATGGATTGAAACCCTAGAAAGTAGGAGCAATGCATTTTATTGGTCTGATGATGATAATAATAACGACAACGGATTTGAACTCGCACAACTTACGAACAGGTAGACAAATCAAGTGATTTTAGACGAGGGTGTAGATGTCATTCGCGATTGTAGAAGAACAGTCTCCAATCTTCTTCAAAGTGATTTTGGTGCGAGACTGGGTGAGCTGTTTATGCAATCATATGTGAATAGAAAATATCAAGCATTTGAATCACAAAATGAAGTTGTTGATTCGTCATTAGTTTTCATCCCCGAAACAGAGGAGGAAAGTAAGATAATCAATGGGTTCGAGCCGCCATTAGAGGTGGTGGGGTTTCTGTTGAGCCGTCGTCACCATAGAGATGTAGGAAGCTAGGAGGCGAGATCTAGGGTTCGAGGTTTGACAACTCATCGTAGTTATCTTCCATCCCTAAAGTCACCGGTGTGGCGTCTTTTTTTCTTTGGAGCCATCGTCTTTTCCCTATTCTTTCCCTCGAGCCACCATCTCAAATCTTTTCAAGCCGTTTGACGTTTGAGAGAGATCAAAATGGAGAAATAAAGAATTCTGAAAAAAGCCCTAGAGTGTGATAACTTATGGAATTCACAAACCAAACCATGGAAAATAGAAAAGTAGAAACGAAGGAAGATGAGAACAAGGCGGGGTTTTCTAAATGGGGATTTCGTTTCCCGCTTAGCTCTTAAAGGTTGAAAACGCGTGTTCCATTAAAATTTATAAAGCGACATCCTTAGACGACGCGCATTTTATTATAGGTGCCCTCCGTGTTTTTTTAGACACTAATTTAAGGGTGCACAATAATGCGCGACATAAATCCTTAAATTTTTCGAAGAGATGACACTTTTTTAATGTCACGCTCTTTTACGTAACATAAATCAATGAGTGTCGTGGTTTGCGCGTCGTAAAAGGCTATTTTTCTAGTAGTGTATCTTATAACTTTTCAGGAAATAATGTCAATATGGATTTTGTTTGTGTATACAATGGCTACTGTTATGGGTCGTCGGACACGGGGGTGATGGAGCTGAGGACCCACCTTTCCTAGGTGGTAGAGGTGTTGTCGTGTTAGTCATCTTGAGCAGGACTGTACGTCTTATTATGAATTTTATTTACTATTTTTATTCAGTTGTTATAAATTAAATATTGTTTCTAATAATTTTTAATTATATTTATACTTGAGCAACGTGTACGAAGGAAAGTCCAAGGCAAAGCCAAAAACATAAAGCTTGAAAGAGTGCTCTTACAGAATAAGGGCAAGCCGATTACCATGGAATGTGATAAGGATATGACATATGATCTCGTAGGAGAGCCGAAAGACATGTTTTCACGAGAAGTTGGAAAAACAATGTGATTGATGGTCTCATTTGATAAATGGACTTGGAAAAAAGTTTCCCTTGTAATAAAGGTCAGAGTAATACATCGTCTAGGGGTACATTATTTATTTAAAAATGTCTATATGGTTAATTCTGATAGGTTTTTACTTGGTTAACTTTTTTTTGCAGACAAAGTTTGATTTGCATTAGATGTACCAAGATGTAGAAGCTAATATGCTAACAGAGAGTTTTTCAAGCTGCTTTGTTAAAAGGTTATCGAGACCGTAAAGCTGATGCAAAAGAATATTTTATGGAAGTATGAAGGTATCATGATATCCTGAGAGTATTAGCCAAGCCTCCAGATGATATGGATGTTGATAATTTGAAGAAAGCAGTTGAATATTTCCAAACAGACGAACACAAAATTGATTCAGAAATGAACAAAATAGTCTGTCAGATGCAAACGACCGTGAATCGTGGGAGGTCGATCTCGTATAGTTATACTTTCTATAAGAAGTTAATGTAGAATACATGTAATTATTTATTAAAAATATGATCTAGTTTTTAATGTTAAACAGAACCTTAAGAGAGTGGAAACGGTTCGCAAGGCTCATACCGATAGGGACAGTGTACTTGTTACTGTTGAGGCAGAACAACAATACGTAAGTATTTAATTATAATTTTATCATATAATTAAGTGTGTACTTATACGTAATTGTTACTCACTTTTAGGAATTACAATATTGATTAGTCGAAGAACTCTTAGAACAAACCCAAGGTGAAAGTGAGTTAACACCTGTCCAAGAAAGGGCTACTTTTGAAGAAGTATTAGGGAAGCGACGTAGCCATATCACAGTCATCGACTGTAAACCTTCTGCTCTCCCGTTGATATCACAGTCATCGCAACCACCACCACAACCATCATAGGTAAAATAATCTTGTAACTCCCGTATTTCTGGGCTAAAAGCATTAACAATGGTGTAATAGTCTAGGTCAACATTTGTAACTCATTTTGAAGTAAGAAAGAGGAATTATATGAATATTATGTGAATTATGTGCTTATTTGCTTAATTATTATAATTCAATTAATTAATGATAAAAATAAGCGTTGAAACTAAATATTAGATAAAGTCGATATCTTTTAAGAAAGTTGTAGTGGCCGAAACAAGGATTTTGGAGATATTAAGAACGCCGAAATCCAAATTATAACCTGTCGAAGTTTCACGATGGAACCGGCACCACACCGGGAAGCGTAAAAAGTGAATTTACGATAAAGTGCTTTTTAGCCTTAGCGATCTAAACGAAATTCGTAGTGTTCTTTAAACCGAGAGTTGTAATATCTGTATTTTCAATAATATTTGACCATGTTTATTTTATGACGTTAGTTACTGATTCTTGAATTTAAATAGGTCATAAAATAACACCCATTATATAAGATAATATTTCGTATTCCAATATTATATTTCTTTGAAATTTATCAACCCATATTTCATAACTTACCGTTTAAATCATTTTTACCAAAATATCTATATAAGTATAAGTGATCGTTACATACATTTGATAAATTCATACGTGTGTATCAATTAAATGAATTAATTGTATTATATAATTAATTCATTTAAGATTTGTTTTTAACAAAAAAAAAAATAGTATATGTATATAATAAAAAGGTATATTAGAATTTATGATTTTTGTATAGAAACAAATTAAACAAGACGTAAGTATTGATGTTTCCACTTCAGGTTATGGTAGTTAATGGTTACACGTATATACGGTTGATTAAAAAATTTTACTTGGTGGCTAAGTAAAAGGAAATGGATATGTTCAAAGAAATAAACTAACTCATTTAATAAAATATTAGTAGTTATACTACATGTTCGTTTTTGGGAGAATGACTAAGTATTCATACTTCCAAACATTTAGTATAAATAGATGTGTGGTATTTATTTTCAATTCATATGTCTCAATCTTAATTAAAGTTATTTTTGTTTTTTTTACGATATTTCAATCCCTTGTGAACCGACTTTTGGATTCGAAGTTTAATTAGCAAAACTCTGAAAGTTTCGAGACTTTTGAGGTGAGTGTATAGTCACTTTCATCTTACACATAAATATGAAGTATTTTATATAAATACGTGCTATGTGTATATATATTGATTGTTTATTTGAGATGATTGTTGAATGAATTTTTTATACAAGTTTTAAAATAATTTAAACTGTATATATATATATATATATATATATATATATATATATTATCTACAAATATGTTGGGTATAACATGGGTAGATGAAATAAATGGTGTGTGATAAAATGATGAGAGACCTCGATGTTGTTGTTCCAGTCATCTAGCAGAGTATGGATGACGACCACAGACTCTTCTAGACAATCCAGTGGAACGCTATCAGGCTCGCAACCTGTAGGTGTTTGTGGGCTTGATGTTCACCGGTGTACTCCATCCCCCTCATGGTTGCCTTACGGACATATATGGCTGAGGAATCCCCTTAGCAGTAAAGTCCATCCCGATGATAAAATCCATAGACTAGGTCCCTTGTATAGGTGTTTAGGGACGTAAAGTGAGGATAACGGGAATGGGTAATCAGGGTTACTGTTGGTTTGATGAAATTAATAAATTTATTGTTGATTGATGAAATTAATAAATTTATTATTATTTGTGGGTTGAAAACCCTATGTGCTCACCAGGCTCCCAAGCCTGAACCACTCAGCTTTCTGTTTTACAGGTAGTGGACCCAGAGCATAATTTGGATAATGATGAGGGATTTTTGGATTATAGGTCAGTAGTTGTATATAATTGTTGTAAGGCTTATAATGTGTTGTTTATGCTTTTGATCTGTATCGAACATGACATCCCGAGACTTTTTATAGAAAAACATTTCTACGGAAATGCTTTGATAAATTTTTATCATATTTCTATTTTGGGAACAAACTCTGCAACACTTTTATGTAAAATATTTCTCTAATTTTCAAATAAGTATAAACAAAATCGATCTTTTGCTGGCCATGAAATTGGGATGTCACAGTTGGTATCAGAGCATTATTTTAAGCAAACTAGGAATTTGTAGGATTTTTAGACTTAAACTTAAAATGCTAAGTGATGATTGTTAGATGAGTGTCTACCATATTTAAGACACGAGCACTAGTATATTTTAGGAAAGTTGCCTAAAATGCTTTTATGTGATAAATGCTATATGTTTACCATATATGCCATTAATTGTTCAGATCTATGGTTTGTTGCCGACCGGATCTGGAAACCTTATGTGTGTAGGATTCTAAGCGTATGACTACGATATTAGAACTAGCATGTAAATGTTTCAGAGTTTATAGTGAATAAAGATCTAAATTCACCTTATTTAGTGTATAGATCAAGATGGCAAGAACCCGCAGTGGAGCTGGGAATACAAATGGGAATAGGAATCAACCCCCAGTACTTGAGCAAGTACCTGTTGCAGGAGCTGCACCTGAGCCAATGACGATGGCTGGAGTACAAGCGATGATACAAATGATGTTGGATCGCCAAATGAAGGAGTCAAGACGATTACTGCAACATAATAGGGAAGAAATTACGATACCTATTGAACAACCTGAAGTGAATGAAGGGCAATCAG